GAGAGATGCTGGAGGACAGCAGGTCTGGGGCGGGAGGCTGTCCCCCTTGGCCAGACTTGTCTGCAGCTGGTCCCCCAGCACTGCTGGGGGTGCCTGGCATGAAGCGGGTGCCCCGTGCTCTGGGCACAGGCAGTGGCACATCGCTGCTGGGTGGTGACAGTGCCAAGCTATGGCTGGGTGGTGACAGTGCCAAGCCATGGCTGGGTGCTGGCAGAGGGGTGAAGAGCCTGATGCTCCCAGCAGTGCCCTGGTCTGTGGCTGGGTCGGGGGGGAGCTGGGCTGGGGCAGACTGCTCTGCTCACCTTCGCACCAGGCTTGCACGCCAACCCAGATGGGTTGTAGGTGCTGGACTCTGAACGCAGGACCCGTCTGGGTGGCTGCGCAGATCAGCGGTGCTAATCTACCCCATCCACCAGGAACCAGCCTGTCAGGGAGGACGTCATTGGTACCAACAGCTCGCTGTGGTTAGCTTCCCCTGGCCCTGCATTGGAAGGACCGGTCCTGCTGTAGGTACAAACCTCCCTCGACTGGGTGCTGAGTTCTGGAAAGCTCCAGCCTTGAGCAACCGCCTCTGCATGGACCTGCCAGCCTCCCCCAGCGCAGCGGTGGTGCAGGTGAGGCTGCAGAAAGTTTGTACTTCCTCTGCTGTGGCACGGGGAGTTGGTTTCTAGAGGGAGCAAGGTGGGGAAGCGTTGCTGGAGGGCCTGAGCTCTGTCTGGGTGGGCTGCAGCTGCCATGTGTGGGAAATGAGGGACCTGCTGGCCTGGCTGTTCCCCCGTGGCTGCTGGGACAGGGGCAGAGTCCCCCGTGGCTGGCAGCTTTGCACACAGACTGCTTAGGACCCCTCCACTATAAGAGGATCCAGTGTCCCCCTAGTCCTGTTCTCGCTCACCCCTACCACCATGGCATTGTGTGAATGCTGGTGATGTACCCGGAGAGGTTTGTTGTGCTGCAGCAGCACCCTCTCCGTGTCCCCTGCCTGCGGCTGGCAGCTGCCTCCTCACGGCTGCTGTTAGCCCATGTCCTGCCAGAAAACACAGCACCCAGAGGCGCTTCCCCCTGGTTGTGCCAACTCCTTGTTAGGTAAAGCAGCTGCGAGAATACACAGGTTGCCACAAATGCTGAATCTCCAAAATGCAGCAGCTTGCTCGTGCCCCACAGCAGAGCACGAAACCTTGGCCGCATCTGGCAGCACAGGGGTCTGTGGGGTGCAAACCCACACATGCAGCCCCTATATCCCCCCCCATGCCGGCCCTGCTCTGCCCTACGGCCCACCCTGTGCTGGGTGACTCCTCACCTTCCTTCCCTTTCCCAAGAGGGAGCAGATGAGCCTCAGCACCCAGGAGCAGGGCAGGCCACCAGGACACAGCAGGGCTGCCTCAGCTGGGCCCCTGCCAGCCCAGCACCCCATGCCAGGCAGCTGCTCTTGTTTCCATGGGTGAAGCACCTGCACCAGCAGCTCCAGCGCCTCCTCCCACCGCCTTCCCAGGGACCAGCAGGATTTGTGCAAAGTCATTGAGTTGTCTGGCACTTTCCCTTTCTTCCCGCTGCCTCTCCTCACTGTCCCCCCACCCCCCACTACCTCCCATCTCCATGGTCCCTTTCCAGAGCATCGTGCTTACCCCTGTCTTGGGTGAGCAGGGGGTGGGATGCTGCAAAGAGCATTTTTGCCCTGGGCACGTGGCCATGTACCCTGGGAGGTTTTGCTGTCCCTCAGTGCATTACAGAGGGTTTCAAGAGGGAACACTCACCCTCACGGGCTGCAGCCTGTGGCTCTGCAGACGAGACGTGCCCTGGGAGCTGCTTACCACGGCAGCGTGACCCACCATCCCGTAGTACAACCTGCACAGGCTGTGTTGCAAAATCGATGCTTTTTATAACAAATCATGCAAGAAATGGGGCCAGCAAAGATGATGTGAAATGGCTTATTCCAAAGGTGCTCATACCCATGCTATCAGTCCTGCCCCAGCCTGGTGCAAAAATAAAAGGGTATGCGGCCATGATTTGTAGCTGAAATAATGAAAAATTACATGAAATTTCAAACAGGGCACAACTCGGCTGCTGTGGGAGCGCAGCTCACGTGGGACCGACAGTGGCTTGCAGCCATTTCCTCAGGGCGCAAGGGGAAGAGATCAGAGCGATGCAAAGGGGGGAGGTTTGTAAATCTGAAGTGGGAACTGAAGGAGCAGAGCTGTGGGCTACTGTGCTTATGCTGTGGGTTTTGGCACCAGCTTGCTTGGGCACATGTGGAAGACCAGGATGAGCAACAGAGCTGGTTGCTGCGTTGCATGGAAATGGATAGTGCGTTACTCGGGTTCAGAGGCTTCACTGCACCAGGGAGCAGTGGAGATAAGACAGGGTTGGGGTTGAAAAAGCTGAAAAGAGGAGCTCGTGGCTCTGTGGCTCCATCGCCACAACAGCTGAAGGTGTGCAAGGGCTTGCTTGTGCCAGTGCAATTAATTAACTGAAGTTCCAGGCTGGAAACATGGCATTCCCTGGGTAAAGGGCTGGCAGTGCAGTGTAATGCCATGGAGCCAGGTCAGGCTGTCGTGCCTCGTTTTATAAAAACATGTGCATGAGCTGGAAGGGCAGGTGAAGACGACTGTCCTCAGGCTGAGCCCCTCCGCACCCTCCCCACTGCCATCTCTGGCACATGGGTCTCCTCTTTGCTGCTGGAGCTGTTTGGACAGGAGATCAGGAGGGGTGAACCCAAGGATGCGTATGGATCAGGGCAAAACAGCAAGCACAACCATGTGGCAGCCCTTCTTCATGTCCAAGATGCAGATATCAACAAATTAAAAGTCAAGCCCTCTAATGTTACTTGCAAGCTGCTGCGCGGTGGGGATGCCTGCCCCTGCAGCCTTCAGTGACTGTGCTGCAAAGAAATGTACTTAATTTCAAGCTTGAATTTTTCTATTTTCAACTCCTCAACTTTGGACCCCTCACTTCCCTCTGCCGGGCTGACACTCTGCCCGTAGCAGTGCTCTGATCCCCCCGGTCAGCAAGGAGACCTTCTCTGGGGGCAGTGGAGTGGCCCACACTCCTCATATCCTGCACAGCCGCATTTCCAAGCCTCAGCTCCTTTTTCATGGTGGTGTTGCTGCTCGGGATTTCTGTGTCCATTTTGATGTTTGGAGAGCTGGAGCGGACATCAAGTTGGCTTTGCCAGTGCTGTAGAGGCACGAGCAGTGCCATGCGTCTGTTTGGAAATCCCTTCTGTGTGCCTCTGGCTCACGGCTCTCGGAGCCAAGGCTCTCTTTTTTTTGGCTTTTTTTCCTTAATTCCACCCCCCTCCCCCCCAGCTTTCTAGGAGATCCTCCACCCTGTGGTACAGCCTGTCCTCTCCGTTCCCAAGAACCTTCCTTGTAGCCTGTGGGTTGTGATTGCTTTATCAGGCCGTTCAGCTTGTACTGTAGCAGCGAGCAGCCTGTTCAGTATTTTATCAGCCACAAACGTAAGCCTTCATCTTCTCATCTAGACAGTTGATTTTAAAAACTATGATGTGGCACTGGACCAGGAAATGGTTGCCGGGGGTCTAGGTACGCTCCCCGTTGTTGATGTCTCCCCATTAAGACTTGGCTCACTGACAGACCTCAAAACGTAGCTGTTAATGCACGTAGTTGTTAATCTATCGTGAGCCTTATTAATTCTTTATAATACATGCTTTTAATTAAAATCCTACGTCATTGTTGATGGCAGTGGCAAAGGCAAAGCTCTACAGATGCTCCTGCCCTCACCACCCAGAGCTTCCCTTTTGCCCGGGGAAGAGCTTTTCCTGCAAGATCTGTGCTGTGTAACACAGCCCTCGGGGTGCCCTTAGCTGAACCTTCGGCTCCCCAGCCCCAGGCTGGGTATCTCTGCCGTGTCTCTGCCCATTGCTTGGCTCTTTGAATTATGCTGGCCTCCCGCCAGCCCAGTATTTGTTAAAAATTAACACACATGTTTAGGAGAGCCCATGATTATGTATTCAAAACATTGTGAATTACCTGGGCCTGCGGCATGAGCGTGGCTGCTCTGGGAGCTGCAGCCTCTCCTTGTGCCGCTGCTGTGCCAAATTCCCTCCCCTCCGCGATAGCACACGAGGTGGGGTCGCTCCTGCTGTTCCCGTTTGAGAGGAGGCAGGAGCTGGATGGTACCTGCCTACCTCTTTCAGCTATTTTTATGGCAGGAAAAAGGACGGGGTAATGCCTGGCCAGAGGGCTCGGGATGAGCCCATGGGGGTTCATGGCCATCACAGCTCTAACAGCCTCTGAAATTCAGGTTTATTCAGCAATCATCTCAGAAACTCAAGGGCAGCAATCTGGCTGTGTGCTCCTGGCTCCAGAGAGGCAGCGTGGGCACAGCCGGAGCTGGGCTCCTTCCAGGTCCCCGCAGCACCGGCGCGAGGAAGCGCAGCGATATCCGACGGTGGCACGTGGGCTGGGAAAGATTCCCCATTTCACGCCCAGGTCTCAGGTAGGCTTCATTGAAGGAGCTGCTGGGGAGAAAGAAAATCCTTTGAATGGCAAATATACAAGGACTATTTGAGCTGGGTTCTTTAAAGGGTTGAATTAAAGATGGAAACCCCATCCAGTTTATTATTTTTAAGAGGCTGTTTTCACAGTGTGCAGCCCAGTAACCAGGCAGGGCACCAGATTCCTCAGTGACTGCTGGCCCTGAGAGCAGGTTGGGTAAAATGTTAAGAGGCATTGCGAAATATTTCCCCGACATCACACTCAAACCATGCTGGATGCCAGCAGGCACCACTTATTTCTGTGCTCTCCTCTATTTCACAGTACAGTAACCTACCAAGAGCCGGGGCGTCTGCTCCTTGAGCGCTCTCTGCGGCTCAGCAAACCTTGCTCCCGCCTGCCAGGCTCAGCTCCCTAAGCCCCCCAAAGTGGCACCCCTCTCCCCTGCCGTGGGGTCTGCATCCGGCCCTGGACGGGCAATGTGCACCTGCAGCAGCGTGCTGGGAAGAGGAGGCGCTGGCTGCCCAGGTAAAACAACCACGGGAGGGAAATCCCACTGGACTCTGCCTGCAGACGGTCTCTCAGCCCCCCGCGGACCTGCAGGCATGGCACCCACATTGTGCTCGCTGCGGGTGCAAGCCTGCCTTTGCAGACTGCTCTGGGATGCTGCTGGAGAGGCAGCCACATCATCTGTGATACCGGGACAGGGAGCGGGCGAGGGCGGTGTGTGGGAGGGGAGGCGTCCCCGCCACCCAGCTCCACGCATCGGGGTCCCAGATCAGCAGCTGAGACGTGCGCTGGCCAGCCCGGGCAGCTCTAACCTGCCAGCGTCGGGTCTGGAAAAGATTTGGGACAATCCTGCCCGAATGCTTAGTCTGATGCTATGGCAGAAAGGACCAACGTAGCCCTTTGAGGCAGAGAATAGGAAAAGGCAGATTTAATCCCTGTGTCAAAGCATTAGGGAGGCTCACTGTGGGATTCTGCATCTTGAAAAGGATTCAGGAAAATCAGAGAGGCTGTGTAGAGCAGAAATGCAAAAAATGGCTTGAGGGTGGGAGGAAAAGCCTGGCAGTAAGAGAATTAAGCGACTCGGTATATTTAGCTTATCAGAAAGATGGAGGAGAGGGGCTTTGCTTGCAGCATATGTGTAGTGTCACAAAGAGAAAATGCCAGGCTCTGAAAGGCTCTTTAATCAAGCAGAAGGCAGAACAAAATGGTATGTCTGCAAGCTGAAGCCAGACACAGGGATGTGGGATGCTGAACACGCGGGTGAGGGACTCCTGAAACAGCCCCAGAAAGGTGGGAGTCTCCAACACTTGTCTTCAAACCAAGCCTACCTCCTTTCTTGGAAAATAAGCGTGAACCAAACATAGCATATTGGAATTAATGCAAGGAGATAAACCGCTGAGCGGCGTGCTGGCCAGCTGCTTGCACTCGTACAGCCGCGTGTCAGGCAGGACCATTGCATCGTTTCAGCTGAGGAAGACCCTGGGAAACATGGTTCGGTCGGGCAGGCTCCAAGTGTTCACCCGCACCCGCAGCGGTAAGTGTGGCTCTTCGCTATTGAAAACATCTGGAGGGTGGCAGAATTTTTCAGCCAAGTTCAGCTTGTTTTAGCTTGTTTTGTGCGGGACTGCTGACAATGCTGTTCAACATTTCTTAGAGCAGCCTGAGCACCAGAAATGCAAAGTGCTGTCCACAGACTGATCACGCTCAGAGCTCAGAACCTGTGTTTAAGAATAATGCGTAATGAGTGTGTGAGGTGAAACAAGTTTGGCCAGAGAGATAAAGACAAAATATGAGCATGTTGCAGCCCAGATTGCATTCCCCAAGCCTGTGCATCAGCAGAAGTAATCTCTATCTAACCTTTACCGGAAAGAGATCTTTGCTGTGGTATTTAGTGGTATTTAATTAATAATAAAATACTACGTTAATTAGTATCAGGTCTGATTTGATGACATGTAATTTGGGGGGGAAGGATTACAGTGTGCGTATTAGAATGAGCGTTTTTATAGGGCAGAGAGTCAAAATAAGATTAGCAGTCTGACTACAGAGAGAGCCCGGAGGCTGATGTGTGTGTGTTTGGCAACTGATGCAGATCGTTGCAGCGTAACTTTATTTACTGATGGGAAAAGAACCTGTAGCTCTTACTTACCTTTACGTGCCACCCCCTATAATGCATGGCTCAGCCACCATGGAATAAAAAAGCAAGCAGGCATCATTTTAACAGGAACGCCCTATGGTGCTCAGCACCATGTGTGAGGTGCGTTTGCAGAGCAGTTTTGGGATGATGCAGCTGGGTTCCTTCCAGAGGAAGGGAAGGAGGAAGCTTTGCTGATGGTCACCCCCACATGCCCAAGCCCCACTGGGGATGTGAGCGGCTGAACTGGGGCCTGACCCATCGCACAGCGTTGACCCAGGCACGCTGTATGTGCCGAGGGCACTGGGTTATGCCTAATCCAACATGAGCACCCCAAGCAGCACGTAGGGTTGATGCAGGGACATGAGGTGTAAGGACCCCTCATTGCCTGCTCTGGGCAGTGACCAGTCCCGACTGCCCTGCATTACCTGCCAACGCAGCCACCAGCCGTGCCCTCTGCCAGAGCCTTTTTTACCCACCGCCCCCCCCCCCCAGCTCATGGCCAGCATTGCTGCGGGAAATGCTCTGCAAACACATGGGCCAGCCATGGGCTCAGCAGGTCGACCGCAAGAGGGTTTTGTTGAGCAGGATGGGCTGCAGCTCTTGCCCTTTCATTTGGTCAGTTTGGCTTTGAAAAGCTCCAGAGCATTCTGGAAAGCAGCACGGCAATATGATAGGATTTAATCAGACTTAATTATTCCCCTGCTGTCGATCTCCTAGCAACATCCAGCTTGACATCTGCCTGTGAATGAAACGTGTAAGCTAAGTAGGAACATGTTCAGACTAAAGCCCTGCTACTCAAACCAAATCACTCCACTAATCATTGCCTTAATTCATCTCGTGGCCGTTAGACAGCTGCCGGGAGCTGGTACCTGATTTCTATAGATGCACGGCACTCGCCTCCTGAGCTTTTTCCAGCCCAGCAAGAAGCGTGACTTCACCCTGGGCTCTTTCCAGCACACTGACACCTGATAACGGGGGGTAGAGTTTCCCGAGTGACAAACGCAGGCTCAGGAGCAAGCCCCAGCCTTGTCGCTACCTGGCTTCGTGCTGTAGGTCCCCGCTTATCTCATCATCAAAATCAGAACACCCGCTGTGCCTGCGGACCGTGGGGTTTAAACTCTGAGCGCGCAAGCGGCAGAGTCGGGGCGGCGTAGGTGAGGTTTGAGGATGGTCAGGGCAGATGTGGCGTGGTGGCAGCAGCTCCGTGTCACCGGGGCATGGGGGGTTGAGGCAAGGAGAAGAGACCTGCCCTACACAGCCAGAGGGGTGAAGAGGAGAAGAGAGGAGCAGGCATCAAGCAAGTATTTGTAAAGCAAAGCCAGGCTCTGGCTGGACGCAATGCAGCGCAGGAGTTGGTGGGGTTATTGGAGAAAATGAGCCCCGCGGCTGAGCCGGAGCTGATGGAGGTGGCTGCTCAGCCTGGGCCCAGCCACTGGTTCCCTGTGAAGCCAGAGATAAGGGAGCTGCCTCTGATGGGTGAGAGCGATCAATGTCCTGAGTGGGTCAGCCCTGGGGAACAGGGGGTCGGTGTGGGCAGCGGTGGCAGGGGCAGACCTGCAGATGGATGGGGCTGCATGGACGCAGTTGTGGCCCCTCTCCACGCACCTCCTCGGTGGGGTATCAGTCCAGAGATACCTGGGTGTTGGCATGAGTTTGTTCAGGTCCTGCACTGTGTCTTTATTGGAATAAAAAAAATCCCAACCGGATACCAGTACAGCACAAGTCTCCCTCGTGTCTCCGCAGAGGAGCGTGGTGGATCTGCAAGCCCGGCTGTGTGGGTGCCACACCTGCAGCCAGCTCACACTCACGCTGAAGGCGAAGTGGGGTTTCTGGCTGCGGAAGGGGGTCTGCATGAGCCCCTGCCAGCTCCTCCTGTGACCCATGTGGGCTCTGCCTCTCGCTGAGCACCGGGGAGCGGGCTCGGGCGGTGCTCAGCTGCCCTGCGCTGTCGAGGCAGTGCCCGCCTGTTGGCATCGGCACCTGGGCTCGCCTGCAGCGGGAGCTGCCGCCACACTGGCTTTTTGTTTTCCTTGTGTTATCAGTGATTCATGGAGGGTGGAAACAGGAAATCACTGGGCTTCTTTACTGTCCTGAAGGTGCAGGTTTATTCCTTACGGTCTCTTTTCCTTTCAGATGACTTTTCCCCCACTATGCCTAATAATTTCCCTAACGCTGTAATTCTCTCCCTGTGCTGCCTTACGCTGTTGTTTCTCACTCGGCCTGTGCGTCACGAGCCTTAGGGATACCCAGCAAGGCTGTGAGGAGGGCGATGCCGTGGGAAGGGTGAGGTGCGGGCTGGCCCTGCCGCTGCGGTGCTCACGAGGCAGCCATGCAGTGAGAAGGTGGAGACTGTGACGCACTGGAAACCGCGTGGAGGCAGTGCCAGCGGCGTGGCGCTGGCCACGCGGCACGGGCTGTGCGGTGTGAGCCGCACTGTGCTGTGGGAGGGCAGCCAACGTGGTCTGTGCAGCCCAGCGTGGTCCTCGCAGCCTGGCGTGGTGCAGTGGTGGAGGCTGCGCAACACTGGGAAGCCCAGGGAGGTGGCGCGGTGCCGTGCAGTGGCTGGGCAGGACCTTGTTGGGTCTGCAGCGGTGTGAGGATCTGCAGAAGCTGGAGGACGGTGTGGAGGCAGTGACCCGGGGTGGGGACTGGGTGCTAAGGTGGGCTGTGCGGCATGGCTAGCTGCAGCGTGGGGCAGCGACTGGAAGCAAGACAGGGCTGGGCCGCTCTGTGCGGTGGCTGTAGGTGGGACTGGGCAGAGCAGCGCGGTGGTCAGAAGCTGTCCTGAGCAGCATTTGGAAGTCGGGCGCTGGAGCAGTTGAAGGGAGATGCAGTGCACTGCAACGCGGTGGCCAGGGGCTAGGCAGTGGGGAGTTGGGGTGCAGCAGCTGGATGGGAGGGAGGTGCGGTACCGAGTCGTGGCTGCAGTGACTGCAAGGTTTGGGGGTGTCCCAGCCAGAGGGAGGTGCGGTGCGGTGCAGTGCAGCGGCTGAAGCAATGAGACGGTGTGGAGCTTGCCAGGGGGTGCGGTGGCCGGGGGG